CATGGATGGACCTAGAGAGAATTATATTAAGTGAAACGAGTCAGGCACAGAAAGGGAAATACAACATGTTCTCACTTATTTGTGGGAGCTAAAAATAAATAAATAAATAAATAAATAAAAAACACCGGGGTGGTGGGGAGGGAAGAAGACATAACAATTACAATTCCTTGAAATTGATACGACAAGAGAACAGAAAGGAGATTGTTGGGAGGGAGGGGGGAGAGGGAGGAAGGAGGGAGGTTTCGGTAATGGGCCACAGTAATCAACCATGTTGTATATCGACAAAATAAAATAAAAAGATTGATAGCAATAAAAAATAATTAATAAATGTAATAGAAATGTAAAAAAATAAAATATATGAAAGCTTAAAGTTAATTTTAACTTTAAATTTAAAAGCCTCCAAAAGAAATCAGAATTAGCCAAGACAGTCCCAGAACAAATCACTGTAAACTGAAAAATTCCCACAGTAACATTCCTGTCAAAGATGTAAAAATTATTCTTGATAAAGCTGGTCTACATTTCAGTTAATAAATTTGTTGAAGTCAGTGATATTGTCTAAATTTTTTACAAATATAAGTTGATGAACTGCTTGTGCAATTAAAGAAAATGAATACAACAGAAGACAATGTTTAAGATAGATGGGCAAAGAAAGCAGGACAGAGGTAAGAGCTGGAAAGATGAAATGAAGTTGGGATTGAGAATAGCAAACCAAATGCATCTGATAAACTCCGGCTCACATACTTTACTTGCTAGAGCCAATAAAAAGACTCTTAAAAATGAGTTTTTATTAATTAGAATTAGATTCTACTGTATATAACAGACAACCAAAATAACTATTGCTTAAGTGAGATAAACATTTATTTCTCTCTCATAGAAAAGAAATCTAGTGGTGGGCAGTCAAGGGCTAGAATGGCAGCTTCACGTGTCATCAGAGGCAGGAGCTAGGATCTTTCTGTGCCACTGTCCTAGAACCTAGTTTCCATCTTCGGTGTTACTTTGTGGTCCAGGATGGCTGCTGGAGCATCAGCCACCGTTTCTGAGTTGAGGGCTGCAAAAATAGGGGAAAAAGGGATAACTCCCTGTTGAATCAACTCTCTTTGAGTAGCCTTCCCGCAAGTCCCATGCAATTTACATTTCCCTGGGGGCTTGGGACTGAATTGTACGCAGATTCAAGGGAAACTGGGCAGCAAGGTCGCCAGCCAAAATCTGGATTTTGATATTAAGGAGTAAAGAAGAAATGAATGCTGGGTTAGTAAGCAGTCTCTGACTCAAAGCGTTTTCCTCTTTTCCATTTGATGTTCATGAATATTGAGGATCAGATGCTTAGAAACATGTTGACCTCTAGTAGAACTATTAAATTTGCAGGGTGGGGGAGCAATACAGAGTATTCTCTTTCCATAAAAGGCAGAATTCATACAGAAATATGATGAAATATTTCAGTTTAAGATCTTGATCTTATTTAAAAACCAAACAAACAAACAAACAACAAACAAAAACAGTTAATTATTCTGCCAGTATGTACTCAGCCAAAGAGACCCTTTCTCTGGCCATCAGAGGCCAGAGATGAGTGCGCCACCATGCAGGTAGACAATGGAAGGGCAAGTACCAGAGGCCAGACAATAGAGGTCAGGGTGTCAGGCCAAGTTTGATCAAGCTGACCTCACTATTACAAAATGATCCTCAGTGGTAGCAAAAAGGAAGTTTATATATTGATAATAATGTTAAGGAGTTATGTCTGAGTTTGAGAAATATTCTGTAGCTTTTCTTGTCTCAGCAGTCACTTCTTATCCCATTAAGCAGGTACTCTCCATTTCCCCCTCTCCCCAACACCTAGTAACCACCTATCTGCTTTCTGTTTCTTTGCATGTTCATAGGGAAACCTCTCATCTCCAGTATTCCCAACAAAATGTGACCTATTTCCACCTAAACCTCCATGCAGCTTCCCTCTGATACATTATACTCTGAAAGACTCTTTCACCCCTCCCCTGTCCCTCATTCAATCCCCATCCCATGCAGATGCCTTGTACATGAAAGTGGAGTGAATCACATGTGGTGATTTTACCATTAGATTTCTCAGCCACTGTTCTAGCGTCATGCCTTTACCCACTTACTTAAGTTCCTGGAGTTTTGATGTTGGAAACTATCCCTTTTAATGGACGCTTGTAGCATTGCCATTTGTGACCAGGAAGTGGTCTTTGTACAGCTGCAACTGCAGCACATCTGTGACACACAGACCTACAAGAGGTGACAGCATACATCAGCACATTGAGGGGTTCCCAGAGCACTTTATTTTCTCTCAAATTCTTGCATTATTTTTACTTTGAAGAAAAGGAGAATATTGTATATCATATGTAGTTTCCCTCCCCGCCTCTATATTTTTCTTTTATTCTTGAAAGTTCTATTTCGTAACCCTTAGTTCCCTAATCCATTAATATTTCGAGAGACTACCATGAGCCAGCCACTGTTCCAGGCAATGGAAATGCATCAGTTAATAAGACAGACAAAATCCTTGCCTTCATGGAGCTTATATTCTACTCAGGCGACGTAAACAAAGGGGTGATCAAAGGTAAGGAAGTGACAAGAAAGGTCAGGAAGTGACACACGAAGCAAATAGGCAGGGTAAGGGGGAAAGAACATGACAAGGGACAGATACTCTTTTAGACAGGCTCATTCAGGAAGGCCCAAGGGACGTGAGAGAAGAGTGAATGGGGGTATCTGGGGGACATGCCTTTGTCTCGAACATTCAAATAATGACCATAAATAAATAATTTTCATAATAATTATTTGTGAACTTAAAAAAAAACTTTTTCTTCTAGAACATTTCAAACCTATACAAAAAATAGGGAAAATGATATAATGAGTCCCATATACCCATTATTCTGCTTCAGTGATTACCAATTCAGGGCCAATTTTATTTCCTCTGTAGCCTCCGCTCCCCACATTTCCTGGATTATTTCGAAGTAAATCCTGACATCATATTACTTTATCCGTAAATATTTCAGTATATATCTCTCTAAGGCAACAACTTCCCTTTTTTTGGTTTATTTTTTTGTTAATTTTTAAAAATTTTAAACAAAACTGCGATGCCATCATCACATCTCCAAAACCCAATGATAATTTCTTATATCATCAAATATCCAGCCAGTATCCATAGTTCTCCCAATAGCTCATGAACATTTAAAGTAAAACAGAACGTGGAATAGTTTCTGTGAGTCCTAGAATAATTTCCTTTAAGGCACTGAAGTAAAAATATTAATTACATACCAACAACTTTTTTTCATCCAGTCTGTTCAGCAGATGTAGGTCTGAATGTTAATTAGTTCATAATGAGTGATAAGTAAGGGAGTGATAGCAATGTATCCCATTGATTCATATGCAATTTCTTCCAGCACATTATTATTTTTTAAAAGCATGCACTAGCAGCTGAACACAAACTACACTACTCAGCTGAATGCAGCCAGCAAATGAGAAGTGGAGTACTATGACATGAGGCCCATTCATGCTGCATTTTTCCTCTTGGCTCAATCTGGCCATCAGCCTCCCCAGGTGCTTGTGTATTTTTTTTTTTTCCTTTTTGTCTTTTTTCATGTCCGGCAACGGACCGCAACCCTCAGTGTCGCGCCCGTACCGGACCGGGACCGGCAACGGGATCGCAACCCTCGGTGCTGCGCCCGCCCCTCGCTCAGCCAGTCAGTGCGGGAGCACCGCCGCACTCCCAAGCGGCGCACTGTAGCAGTGCGCCACCGGGCCGGCCCATTGTGTATTTTTTTTTTAACTCAATAACTCAGCAGCCTCAGCCCTTTCTCACACTTCCTTCCGTCAAGCTACTTTTATTTTTTTTTAAAGATAAAGTACATTGTTTGCTGTAATGTCTTTTGTTAGAATTTAATATATTTTGATCTTTATCAGGATTATTGCTCTTTTGTTGTTGTTATTGTCAGTGCCGTGTTTACAAAGTTGCATAGATTTTTAGCAGTCTGTCCCAACCCTATTTTTCAACAAGCAAAAAAAGTTACTATTTATTAGGGAATCCATTTAATGGGTGAAAACATTGAATTGTGAAAAACAATAAATATTCCTAAAAATAACTTTAAATGGTACTGACTTGCACTGTTTCCCATAATTTGGGAGACAAATATATCAGTAATGGGTCCTGTTTTTATCCCCTATCTCAAACCCCCGGCAAATCAGAAAGTTTTCAGGAAAGTAGGAACTGGAAATCATTACTCACAAAGTGGTGGTTTATAAAAACATTAAATGAACAAAATATGTTCAAAGACATAGATACTTCTTTTTAAATTTTAGATTACAATGAGAGTATAAAATGTGCTACTACCAAAGTTCTGGGTAAATGGTCAATAAAATGATAAATATATTGCAATGAACAAACTGTTCCCTAATTCAGTATATCGGACTAGATACTTACCTTTATCTGAAATGCCAACACCTTGAATTTCCCAGGTAGTTAGAAAATCAGGTAGCACCAACTCCAGCTGATGCCTGCAAGATAAAATATTTCATAGCCATTGAACACAGATGAGCCTGGATTAACTTAGAACCAACTTAACATGATCTCCTATTAATCAGAATGTTTGTGCCTTTCCCACCCCCCCCGCCTGGATTAACTTAGAACCAACTTAACATGATCTCCTATTAATCAGAATGTTTGTGCCTTTTCCCCCCCAATATGGGCTCTTGAGGCAAATCACAAGGAAATGAACTGAAATGAGTGAGCATAAGATCAAATATCAGAGGCTAATGAGGCCTCCTACATATTCAGAATAATTGCCTATACATTGTATTAAGCTGAACCATATGAAATTGCTGTTCATGTAGGTCAAAAATGTTTGAATAGCAGATACATATGGTTCAACCTAATATATACTCCCATGTTTTGTTTTCATTGTCCTACTTTCACAATAGGGACTTGAAGGCACTGTGATATCATAAATTATTAAATAAAAATTCAGCAGACCCTACTAAGAAAAGTAGAGTATACAAAAATCGTTGAAACAAAAGGAATTTTCAGAAATCAGAAGCCCATTAGTTAATTTATCTGTTCTGTGTACATTTCCTAACTGTCTATTTTGTACAAGTCACATTCCTGAGACTAAATATAAAGATAAATAACAAAGGATCTGCCTTCAAGGAATTTATTCCTGTGAGGAGGGAAATATATAGACAAATAATCATAGGGAACAGTAAATGCTTCAATAGGAGCATGTGTGAGCTATAAGATAAGTATTTAATTGTTTGGTGGACACTTTTTAGAGAACTCAATGTTGTTAAATGTGAAATGGAATTCATCAGGAGTGGGAAAGGGGACTTCCAGGAAAAGGTGCAAGGACTGCAGGGAGTATGTACCACTGGAACAGAAAACGCATAATATCAATGACAGCAAAAGCAGTTGAGAGATGCAGCTGGAGCTGTTGGCAAGAGCCAGTGGATGAGGGCCTCAATCTACCTGGATTTTGCTGGATAGATCATGGAGAAGTGGTTTTAGGTGGGGAAGTGGCATGATCAGACTTGGATTTCAATATAATTATTTGGGTGGCTGCGTTTGAAGCATGAACTGGAGCAGAGACATGGACAAGGCTGGAATCGGGCAGAGTAAAGGATGCTGTTGGCATCAGGCAAGTTGTGGTGGCTGAACAACAACTGCTCATTTCCCAAGCCTTATGGCTAATCAGTGTTTTACGGTGTGTGTTTATTATATGAGGAAAATATTGCCTCCTTTCATCTGTTATATAAAAAAATTGCATTGGAAACACGTACCTAAATGGACAATATACATTGTTAGAGAGTTTGCTGCAAAAAAGTTGTCTGGAAAGACTGAAATAATTATATAAAAAAGTGCAAAGCACAGATAACACCCCAAGCTACATACTCAGTAAAAGTTCAAGGTAAGTGAAATGACGTTCTTCAGCAAATATCATTAACTCTGCAGTTAATTCAGTCACTGAGGGAAAAACCAACACAACCACCAGCCCAATTAACATTGATCAAATGTCAGTTCTGTCCCTTGGAAGAGTGACAGATCACTTATTCCTCATATTTGAATATTTTTCAAAAAGTCCTAACATACCTTTTAGTGACATGATATACTTTCCATAACCAGTTTTCTAAAACAACTCTGCTTGCAGCTCGTATGTAAGTGTTTGATGAACCTAAATTGGAAAAATAAAAACCCAGGGTAAACATAATACACAATAGAGTTATATGTTAAAACATGATGGTTAACATTTAATTAAAATTTTGGGAGGGGCC